GGTGTTTTAGTTTTATTTCTCAGCTGCAGCTGTTGCTTGACATGAAATGCTGACAACTTGCCTTCTAGTCTATAAAAACTTTAGTCTTCACTCTTAGCAACTCTATCAAAGCTTGTCTCAGCAGTAGGGTAACTGGTGCAGGTGAGCATTTCACAGCTTTTCTTAGTCATATACAATGTAACTGCTACCATCTCTCTTGGAGCAAATCTACAATAAAGGGACATTCTCACATTGCTTTTGCCAGGCTTCATTCCGCAGCAAGGGAACTCCCCCCACTAGGGATATCTGACTCCTTACCCTTCACTGCAGGCCTAGGAAGGAGATCTGCTTTATGCAGCCTCAGTTCCTGAATCAGTCTAACTCTGTTGGTCTGACTAGAAAGAAAATACAAGAGTGGGGAAAAACAGCTGTTAAGGCCTACCAATGGCCTCCAAATCTTGTAAAATAAGCTCGCTCCTTGTAAGAGAGGGCAGTCAGCTTTCCGGTGGACCCGGACATAGAGGTATACTGTACGAGTGATATGGAAAGGAGCTAAGCAGACTGCAAAAAGCCCACACACTAGCAGGATTGTCCGGATTGATTTAGCCCGGACAGCACTGCTCATGTGACTGGTCTTACCAGTAGTTTGAAGCAAGCTCCTGATCATCAAACAGTAGCAAATTAAAATGATAAGGAAAGGACAGAGGAAACCAGACACAGTTAGAGCCATCCCATAGGCGTAATAGTTCCTGAAGTTATCAGGGCTAGTCAGATCGTAGCAGACTGTTTGGTTATTGATGAAGCCAGTGCGAGCATAGATCAAGCTGGGCAGCAGTTGCATGAGCACCAGTATCCAGGATATAGCGGTGCCAATGACAGCTAGTCTCCTGGTCATATAAGCTAGTGAGCGGATGGGGTAGCAAATCCCCAAAAAGCGATGGACACTTATGCAGGTCAGCAGCAAGATGCTTCCGTACAGATTGTTGTAAAATAAGAAACGTACCATTTTGCAGAGCAGTTCTCCAAAAATCCAGATGTCCTGCATGGCATAACTGATGATGAGCAGGGGCAGAGAGAAAATGTAAAGCAGATCAGCAACAGCCAGGTTCACCAGGTAGATAGTGGTGCATGTCCATTCCTTGGTGCAGCAGCACAGCCACAGCATGGCACCGTTTAGGAACAGTCCTAGCACAAACACAAGGCTATATGCAAGAGGGAGCAAGATGTGTTTGTAGTTCTCTTCTAGGGGGCACAGTGCTGTTTCTGATGTGCCATTCAGTGTTTTGTTCAGCATCTTCATAGTGGATGCAGCCTCAGTCATCATTCACTGCTGCTGCTTTAAAACCATGTCCTTCCCCTGCCACAAAGAGAAACAAGCACTCAATGGCTACCCTTGCCTCTCTCCTCTCAAAACAGCTCAAGTCTTAATTACTGTTTGTAAAGTGCCCAGAAGAGGTACACCTCTATAGAAATGCTACATATTTATTACCTTGGTTCCAGGTAAGCAGCAACTGTGGCAAAATGAACTTGCAAGACACATGCAGATACTACTAGTATTTGGTCAAGACAATTAAATGTAACTTGCAACAAATCTAGACTCTTAAACATTGAAGAAAGGGCTTCTGCTTTGACCTTGCCCATGAGTTGATGATTTACTTACAAGCACCTCTGCTTCTCAGAGTCCAGTTGATACAGTCAACTACAGTACTAATCACAACACTTTTCTGATGGCAGGAGGAATCCTTTCTGTAGAGGTGGGAATTCTTCACACATCTAAGCTGAAGGACTACGTGGGACTAGTATGCATGGAGGAGGTATTGTTTCAATACATTAAAATGGAATTGTTACTGGGGGAAGCACAGATTTTGCATAGAGTCCTACTTGCAATTTCTGATTTGTGTTTTGGTTTAGTATTATAGATACCTTATTTGAAATGGGAAGCAAATTTGTAGCCAACCCATAACAGCTTGACTTGGAAAGAAAACACAGTTGATTGATAGCCACAGGTGGCTATAGTTATGATGCAGAAATAAAGCCACAGTGCTAAGGGATGGATAGGATTTCACTGTGGTTCAGAAATATGTTCTCTGCAGCCAAATAAGATAGGATATAATTGTTGTTATACCAAAAGATAAGAATTATTACTACTTTCCAGTTTCCTCTTAGTCTCTCCTCTTTGAAGAATATTCAAGACTAATTAGGAAAATTAAGAATACTTTTAATGTCTTATACCCAACTTAGCATTAGTGGTGAAATATCATACAACAGCAAATATTCCAATGATTCAGGAGACATGCATTGCTAATACAATCCTAATTATAAAAGGAGTAGTTGAAACCGATCCAAAGCAGAAAGATTATTGAAATAATATATGACCTTTTAGTTCATAATAGATTCAGGCTAAAGCTCGTTGAGTACTGATGAGCAAGGCCAAAATTGGCCTTTTCCTGTTGTGGGGTTTCCTTGCATGAATGATAGGGTTTGTTGCCAATGTGTACCATTGATGCTATATAGCAGTAGACCCAAATTATGGAAATCTGGGATGTTGACTTTGAGGGGTTGATGCTTTACAGAGCTTAAAAAAAAAAGACATTTAAATTCTGTCAGGTGAAATTCATCACATTCACCTGGAAGTTTTGTGTAAAAAAAAACTTACATTATTTTGATCCATGTGAGTTTTTATCATAGATATTGGCAAACTATCTACTGAACCCACATCCATTTTCTTTTCATTGTCAGCTGAGCCATACAATTTTTTTTTTATCAAATGTAAATCAGGAACCTTAATCAGAAAGGTTGCTTCTTTGATTTTGCTTTTTGCCATTAAAAATTCTACCAGTAAAACTCCATTGGTCTGGCACTCCTGATGGTCCAGCACCATCAGGAACCCAGAAGTGCTTCAGCAGCCGGACAATTGGAGCTGCTCTGTGCCCTGCTTCCCTGATTCAGCACTGCTGAAACTGACCAGCAGCTGAATTGGGGAAGCTGGGGGTAGAGCAGCTGGGGTGCTGCTGGGTTGGTCCCGTAGCACTGCCCCTTGGGGCTGTGGGACCAACCCAGTAGCACCCCACTACTCTTGGGGACGCCTGGGGCAGAGCAGCTGGAGTGCTGCCAGGTTGGTCTTGCAGCACCGAGGGGTGGCGCTATGGGACCAACCCGGCAGCACCCCAGCTGCTCTGCTCCAGGCCTCCCGATTCAGCCGTTGCTGAAACTAACCAGCAGCGGCTGAATCGGGGATGCCTGGGGCAGAGCTGGACTATCAGAAGGGAGGGCTATGAGGGATCTGGGGTGGCATCCCACCCCACACCAGACCTGTCATAGCCCCCTCTTCGGATAGTCCGGCATATCTGATAATCTGGCACCCCCTGGGTCCTAAAGGTGCTGGATTATCGGAAGTTTACTGTAGTTTGTTGTCTAAGCGCTGTCTCTACACAATGAACACAATCATTTTGGGGTCTGGCCAATACCAAAATGGTATGAATCAGCTATTTCTGGCTGTTCAAGCTCTGACAGTGCGGGAGGAGTGGGGATGGAATGGGAATCAATAGCTTTGTGGTTTTCAAAAAGTTCTGGGAGGGAAGGAGAGCAGTAAGTGTGGGGTCCAGTGCCCCAGTGTATGAGAAGAGCATGGGAGAAGGGAGCAGAGAGGTTGCCCACAGATCACAGGTTGCCCACTACTGCTCATGAGCCCACTGCGATGAAGGGCCTCTCATGTGGCCCAGTCACTGTTCTTGGTTGCCTGTCGCTGAACTATAGCAACAAAAAGTGTTTTTTCTTTCCCATGTATACGACTATGTTGCTCCCATCTTTGAAAGCCTCCACTAGATTCTCATCTACTAGAGTGTCAATTTTAAGTTTTTGTCACCACCTTCAAAATTCTACATAATTTTGCCCCTTCCTATTTCTATTTCCTTAGTGAGCTTTAAGTTACCCCATATGCCTTCCACTCTGGTAGTGTTCCGTTCCTGCCCTCTTTTGCCTATTTGTCAGCTTCTCCATCAATCCCCTCTGAGCTCTATGAAAAGTCTTTAACCTGAACAGCAGGGCTACTCAGTACATGGCCCATTTGTTTGCAGCCCACAGTGTGGTCTGGGTTTACGTGGGGCTCAACACATGACCCGGGGGTGGGTGTCAAACCAAAACAGTAATCAATATATTGGTCTTCTGTTGATATGGGTTTTAGTAGTTAAATTCCTGGACACTCATTGCTCATTTAAAAGTGCTGTCATAAGGGTGGAAATCGGGTAAGTATTGCATTTTATTAATAGCAGCAGAACTGACTTAAATGGGGCCTGTGTGTTTGTGTAGTTGAATCAAATGCCTCATTTCTGCTATTCTGCCCACACCAAATTTAGCTGACTTAAATAGTAAGTCACTTTATTTCTCCTTTTCACCTAATTTCTCTATGCCATGACTTTCTTTAGACTGTAAATCCTCAAGTTGGGGCCTCTTTTTTTTTTTTCTTGAATAGCTAGAAAGTAGCTAGTACATAATTACCTTACGTAATAATATACATGTGTCTTTGGTAACTGATAACTTGACAAGAAAGATTATACATTTTCTTTGACTACTATTGTGACTTTGTTCCACTTAACAGCACAATATGATGGCTGTTGGAGGCAAAGGAGGAGCAAGGGCAGAGTTAAAATGGATGTTCTCTTTCTCACCTGTTAATGATGATGTTTGGTTTCCTAAACTGTTAAAGTGTTATCTGTTAACCTCCTATCCCTTCCCTGAGTGAGTGCAGAAGAATCTGAGGTAAACAGCAGGAGTAAACAACAGTGCACACGGCTGGAGCAGGGAGTGCACCCGGCCCAAAGAGGCCCAGAGACTCAGAAGCCGAGACACAGTTGGTTGACTATCAAGTGGAGCCTCCCAAGAACACTCTCTGCTCAGCTCGCCTGGCCAGCAGACCAGCTTAGGAGTCAACTTGGGACGTTCAATCAACATGAACTGCCTTCTGCTTGCCTTATCATCCTGCCTGAGACTAAGTGTGGTTGAGTGTAAGAATGAAATTCCCCTCCCTTCCCAGTTTTAACTGAATAAACAAACTCTTTACACTGTTTTGTGGTGAGCCCCTCTTCCTAGTGTTTAAAGCAGTTGCAATCTACATCCCCTTGCAACAATGGCAGCACAAAAGAGTATTAGACATCAGTACTTCATTTTTCAGATATGTACTGAATCCTTTCTAAGATGTTTTCTTTAAGGGACAAAACGTACTTGCAACCTCAGCTTTCATTTCTCAGACCAATATTTTCCTCTGACCATCCACTGAGATGTAATTTTGAATGATACATGAATTCCCTTGCTGCTATCCTTAACATAAAATACAAACAGACCAGTAATTAGACATATAACAGATGGAGTTCTCCCATATTCATAAGGCAGTTGAGACCAGGTCTGTTTCTAGACTGACTTAATTATAATGAAAGATCTCCAAGGGCCAAGTTATTCTAGAGAACACCTATCTGTTCTGTGACTAAACAACCACTAGATGTCACTGATGTCTTAATATACAGAAAATATTTTTTCTGCATCAATGACAATTCTTACTGTAATAACAATTACATTTTTCTAAAGCTGTATTTGCTGCAGTGGATAAACTCCATGTATAATTTATTTGCATGTTGTTAGAACGGGGGTCCTGATATCTCAATATTAGCACCAACAATATTAAACAGCTGGTGCTTCTTAATGTTTCTGGTGCAAAGGAAATAAGAGTGGGACAACAAACCAACCAAACTTACTCTAGCTCAGTGGTCACTAACCAGTAGATCAGGATCTACTGGTAGATCTTGGAGCTTCTTGACAAGTGATCCTGACTTGTTTGGCTGGGAGGCTATCAAGGGTCAGTATTTCAGCTGTCCCTCCCCACACTGCTCTGCTGCTCCTACCCAGAGCCTCAGAGCTGCCCCCAGGAGCATCCTGCTTGTTGTGCAGGGTGGGGGAGATGGAGGCAGGGGGCAGGAGCATCCTGCTTGTTGTGCAGGGTAGGGGAGATGGAGGCAGGGGACACTGATATTACTGTGTCCCCCTCTCCTGTACCCCATCTTTGCAGAGTGAGGAGGGCTAGGCCTCAACAAAGAGGTGGGTAAGGCCTTGGAGAAGGGGCTGGGCAGGGGTATTTGGATTTGATGTAGATCCTGGACTGACTTAAATTCAAAAAGTGATCTTGTGCTTAAAAAGTTTGGAGACCTCTGCTCTAACTGCTTCTGAATTTATTTACTCAATTAGTATTTTAGTGGTGTGAAAATTTAAATAGCTCCTGACTGCAATTTCCAGACCCAAGACAGACTTGAAAGTTAGTTGTAATTGTTTTTGGAGTGGCTGACTTGTTTCAATAAAGCCTGTAGATGTATGTAAAATACAAAACTTATTGTTAATCATGTTCCATAAAAAACATTTTCTAATTTCTCATTATTGTATATACCTTATTGTACATCACTAAAAATACCCAGCTGAGGGACAATGAGTATACCAAAGAACTCCTGAAAAAGGTTTGATCTCTTATTGTGAAGAGCAGTGTTTCCTAATACTTTGTTTCACTATCATTTTTGTTCAGTGTTGCTTCATAGCTGGAGCTTGTATTTAAGCCTGTGCGGGTTGGACCTTGCTGGTCCAGCACCCTTGGGATCTGAGTGGTCCCAGATGATGGAATTTGCTGGCCCAGGGAAGGGCCCCTGCCGCCCCTCCCCACTGCTGGCTCCTTTGGCCCCACTTCCAGCCGGGTGACACAGCTGCTCCAGGTTCACTGTTGGTATGGCAGCATGAAGCACAACCCCACTGCTGGGCCGGCATGCACGGGCTACCCCTGCTTCACAACTATAGCTCCGCTGCTGGTCTGCTGAGGCCCTGACCCACTACCACCAGCCTTGCCTTTCAGGAGCTCTCAGCTGCTGGCCCTCCTGCACCAGGGCTCTTGTTCAGCAACATCCATGGTCTGAGAGTCCCAGTTAAGGAAAGTGTAACCTGCATGTTCAATAAGGTATTTATTCAAACCCAGATAAACAGATTTGGCCAAATCTTCAAAATACTCACCTGGAGCCAAGTGGGTAGAAAAAGATACCGCATCTTCTCTGCACCATTACTTAACTTGACTCCTGTGAGCTCTGAAGATGGTCCCAGAGGGCAAGCAGAGAAGCTTGTATTGCTACTTTTGGGTGTAAAAGATGGGAAACCAAGTCACACATTACTCAATTTAGGGTTAATCTATTTTTGTCTTTCTACAATGTCTGACAGAATTATTTTAACTTATAGAATTGGTAAATAAACCCAAGTTACCACACTCTGGGGCACCAGGAAGTCCTTCCATCTTCCATGATAGTCATTGTTTTCTCTGATACCTTGGAATGGTCCTTCTTCCTTCAGTTTTTGGTCTGGTGTTTCTCCAGTGTGGGTCCATGTTTTCTTAGGTCTTGTGTATTTTAACAGTTCAGATAACTTAATTATTATCCAGTTGGCTTTTACACATTAATACTTGGGGGTTTAGGTAACCCATAGATAACACGTAGAAGCTTCAGTTGTGAAACACTGGAGAACATCTTATGAGTCTTTAATGCCAACATTTCATATTTTCTTTGAACATCAGTTTTACATTTGTAAATTATAAAGAAACTTAATGAGAAATTTTCCTGTGAATGCATTTTGAAGGGTTTTTCAATTTTAGGGCCAAGATATTTAGTTGCTTTTAAAGGCACCCTAGAACCGACAGTATCTGTTCTGCAGATGTATAGAAAGCTTCAAACCCTAGAATAGCTATTCTGTCACCTTTCAAGAATGCCAAATTCACACCAAATCAGTTTTAAAAGTAAGCAAACTTCAGGCCTGTGGAATACTGTTTTGCTTAACCCCCCCTTCCCCCCCCCCCAAAATCAAAACACTTTTCTGTTTATTAAATGATTCCATATAAAAATGCAACATTCCATAGATATGCAAATGAAATAAGACAATGGGAAGAAATGACCAATTAATTTTTTTAAAGAAAACATGAACATTAAATTTCAGAATATTAAAATAATATTTCTAACAACATAAAGAGAAGAACCACCAACACCTAGTTGTGCTGACTTCAGAAAAAATGAAGGTTTCATGCATGGCTGCATGATCATGTAGTGGAAAGCTGGTTTCTTCTCATTATGTTCTTTTTCCACATTAAGATCCCTCTATTTCATTCCAAATAATCAGTAATCCTTTGCAGTGGTGGGCTCAAAAATAAAACCTGCTGCTCTTTGATATCCATCTTAGTCTATCCCCTTAAGTAACACTTAATACATTCCTTAAGAGATGTTCTTTACTACCTAGTGCCCCATTTTGTTGTATTCTTTTTTTTTTCCTATGTAAGAATCACAGAGCTGGAAGAGACCTTAGGAGGTCCTCAAGTCCAGCCCCCTGCCCAAGGCAGGACCAATCCCAACTAAATCAACCCAGCCAAGGCTTTGTCAAGCTGAGACTTAAAAACCTCTAGGAATGGAGATTCCTCCACCTCCCTAGGCAACCCATTCCAGTGCTTCACCACCCTCCTAGTGAAATAGTTTTTCCTAATATCCAACCTAGAGCTCTCCCACTGTAACTTGAGACCATAGCTCCTCGCTTTGCCATCTGTCACTACTGTGAACAGCCTTTCTCCATCCTGACAGTCTCCTCCATTCAGGAAGTTGAAGGCTGCTATCAAATTCTCCCCTCACTCTTCAATTGCGCAGACTAAACAAACCCAAATCCCCCAGTCTCTCCTCATAAGTCATGCGCTCCAGCCCCCTAATCATTTTGGTCACCCTCTGCTGGATTCTCTCCAATGCATCCACATCCTTTCTATAGTGGGGGGCCCAGAACTGGACACAATACTCCAGATGTAGCCTCACCAGAGCTAAATAAAGGGAAATAATCACTTCTCTGGATCTGCTAGCAATGTTCCTCCTCATGCACCCAAATATGCCATTAGCCTTCTTGGCTACAAGGGCACACTGTTGACTCCTATCCAGCTTCTCATCCACTGTAATCCCCAGGTCCTTTTTTGCTGAACTGCTACTTAGCCATTCAGTTCCCAACCTGTAACCATGCTTGGGATTCTTCAGTCCCAAGTGCAGGACTCTACATTTGTCCTTGTTGAACCTCATCAGATTTCTTTGGCTCGATCCTCTAATCTGTCCAGGTCACTCTGGATGTTATCACTGCCATCCAGCGTATCTACTTCTCCCCCTAGCTTAGTGTCACTGAGAGTGCAATCCATCCTCTCATCCAGGTCATTAATAAAGATGTTGAACAAAACTGGTCCAAGAACTGATCCTTGTGTCCTCAGCAAGAAACTAACCGCCAGCCTGACATCGAGCTCTTTATCACTACCTGTTGGGCCTGACAATCTAGCCAGCTTTCTGTCAATCTTACAGTCCATTTATCCAATCCGTACTCCTTTACATTTGTTCATTTGGCTGTGTGGCACAGAGAGGTGTTGCTGGCAAGAGTAAGTCTCAGGTCTGACACTGGGTTCTTAAAGTACAAAAAATGCTACACTGGTATCTGTCAAATACAAGCAGTTTATTTCCTGACAGCTATTAGCTGTGTCCCTTAACTAAAAGAACAACATGATAGGAAAAAGCGGCATTTCTTACATCCCTTCGGCTAGCAGGGAACCCCATTTCGGCTGCGCATGAAGTGGGAGACTGTCTCAGCTTCCGAGGTGCTGGTAGCCAAAGCCCATCAGTGAGGTCCAAATTCCTGTGCTCTGGTGCAGCTTTAAATACTGTCTCTCTACCTTGTTTGTGGCTGTTTGGAAATTTCAGGGGGTTACTCATTGCTTGTTAAAGTATGGCTCAGCTGTATTGCTTGTCCTTTGACTTTGTTTACATGTATTGAGGTAAACAAGATTGTTACGTTCCCGCCTTTATCTACAATTCTTTCTTGATATAATGATGTATGTTCCTAGGGGCTTGCTTCTGGCTCATCAGTAGTAGGGAAACGGGGGAGAATGCAGGCCTCACTACCCCTATACTTCACACATACAGAATTCTTCCACAATTGACCTCCACATTCCACCCCTGGGTGGTAGGGCACTGCCCTCATATTCCCGAATGGGAAGTATACTGGCTGTCTGGGATAATAAATTAAGTCTTTACTTTCACTTAAAAAATTTGATCCTGCAGATAGTGGTTGGGAGACTAACACTTAACCATCAGCAGGGCAGCTGATCATGGGGTTTAATTACTTCCCCTTACTGGATCATATGTAAGAGTAGGGGAGCAGGCTGGCAATAACACTATGCTTTGCATAAGCAACAAGGAGTCCTGTAGCACCTTATAGATTAACAGATGTATTGGAGCATAAGCTTTCGTGGGCAAAGACCCACTTCGTCAGATGCATGTAGTGGAAATATCCAGAGGCAGGTATAAATATGCAGGCCAGAATCAGGCTAGAGATAATGAGGTTAATTCAATGAAGAAGGATGAGGGCCACTTCTAGCAGCTGATCTGGAGGTGTGAATACCAAAAGAGGAGAAGCTGCTTTTGCAGTTAGCTAGCCATACACGGTCTTTGTTTAATCCTGAGCTGATGGTGTCAAACTTGCAGATGAACTGTAGCTCAGCAGTTTCTCTTTGAAGTCTGGTCTTGAGAAGTTATTTTTGTTGCAGGATGGCATATATTACATTGGTAGAGGTGCAGGTGAATGAACCAGTGATGGTGTCGCTGATCTGGTTAGGTTCTGTGATGGTGTTGCTGGTGTAGATATGTGGGCAGAGTTGGCACTGAGGTTTGTTGCATGCATTGGTTCCTGAGTTAGAGTTACTATGGTGCGGTGTATAGTTGCTGGTGAGAATATGCTTCC